AGTTTATTTTATGTTTATATAAAAAATGTGTGCTGACTGGATGAATATAACCATATACATGATGGCACTGAGATAATAAATTTGCAATTTATTGAACAGTGTATCAAAGAATAGTAATTAATTCTTGCCCTAACAAGTTGTATGCCTAGGTCTATTAACCATTATTGTTAGGTTGGTAGAAAGGAGTAAGACTTCCAAATCCTTTAAACCCAGCACTAAACTATAGGGTTCAACATTACAACTACTGGTCTCAACTCCTTAATCCAGGCATTTTAATAAAAACTTTCAATTGGATGACATAGTAACTTACCATAGCCATGATACTAGCTAGTCCCTATTTTCTGGGTAAAGCCAAAAAAGAAAAGACAGCTAAAATAAATGGAAAATTCAAGTAAAAATTCAATATGGGGAGGAGAGGAAGAAAGAATATTCATCTTAAAAGAGCTGTCTATAGCTATATTTATAGTTCAATCACAGATTTTAATGAGGAACTTCACACTATAGCCTTTGATTTTTATTTAATCTACTTTCTTTTTTTATGAGTAGAAAAAGGACTGACCCCTCCAGGCATAAAGTTGAAAGATCTATATTTGACTACTGAAAGAAATTTTAGTGTTTGTAAGGCTGGACGACAGGAATAGAGGTGAGATAAAATGTGCTTTCAAATAAGTGAAAAGCATAATTAAAAATTAGGCAAAGAAGTTTTACAAAAAAACTTCCATCAAAAGTTAGGCATTTGAAAACTATTATGCATGAGAAATTTCATAACAGAAAGCATTAGAAAGCCATGCCCATGTTCTTATTGTCTCCCCAAGAATCAAAAAGTGCTTTCTAATTATTAAATAGAACTGCTGCATTTATCTAAAGAAGCTTTTATTTAGCAAATAAGAAAACAGCAATAGAAAAATTAGTAAATTAAATTAGGTAATAGGAAAAGCATACATGCACTATACTTACTAGCATTAAATATTATACTGGATTTGTTGCCTTAAAAATTCTACACATTCTGCATTAAAGACACATAAATTTTGCATTTGAATTGTTAAATCGAAGTTTAAAGGGGGAAACTGTGTGTACATTTAATAATAATAATGCATAAAACTGATAGGGACATATTATTACTTCAAGATTTTGGTATAGCTTCTCTTTAAAAATAGAGTTGACTGTTTTAGGTCACTTAATCTCAGTCCCTAAGAGAAAATGAGAACAACTTGTTAAAGGCAAATCTCCCCTCTAATTTTGCTGAATGTTATTATTTCCCCAATAAAACATGACTCCTTTTTAATGAAGTCTGAGGAATAACAAGAACTACAATAATTCATTTAAATTACCATGGCTACAGGAAATATTAAATTTGAACAAATTACACTAACTGGCTAGTTGAAAAGTTACCCACGGATCAACTCTTTCTCTTTACAAAAAACAGGGGAGAATTTCACCATCATTGTGTTTAAATATAAATTGATGCCACAGGTAAATCGTGTTTACATCTAGCACTGACATCTTCCTAACGAATCAAAAGTAAAAGACTTTACAAGAATATTATATGTATTATTTTAATTAGATATTTTTATCACCTTGTGTTAATATAGCACCTTGCTCCAAATTTGTCGACAGTATAAATCTTTCATCTTTTTAATTAGCATACGCTTTATGGTATATGTGGTACATTCCTTAGGCAGAAAAATTATAATCCGTACTCTGCACCAGTGTAGAGACTGGGTGCCTCAGAATCATCGTACCTTTGTATCAAGAAAAGAAACAAAAACTAACATATGGGTTAACTCTAATTATGACTGGCTTTGTTGAAATAAAATGTCATAAAATCTATAAACATCAATAATATTTTGTCTAGAGAAGATATCTGTAATAAATAACCTTATATGTTTAAAAAACTAGAGAATGACTATAAATAACCTTTAATGTCTAATTTTCAATTTCCATTACATCAATTAATATGGTAAACTACTCTTCAGCAAGTCTCAAAGTGATTCATAAACATGGATTGCTTGAACAGAAACCTTGCCACTATAGTAACAAAGTATTTCTATCTGTCTAGTAGGCCTAACCTAAAGAAACAGGTGCTATATTGTGGTCTATGCCAAGATACAGACACATACAGTTACCATTGTAATAACATATCTACAACACAACTGCTCAGCTTGATCTGACAAACTGCTTGGTTCAAACAGTGGTCAATAACAATACACTAAGTTAAATTTTGTATGCAGTTCATTGAAATTAATTATATATGAATATGATCTACCCAAATTATTTAGTCATAGTTACCTTAACGAACACTTACATCAGAACCAGGTTGATAATTTTCCATCATGGTATACAAAATTTAGTTTATTTACTGTATGTAGCACAGTAAATATGTGTATGATATGAAGTGACAGGACAAGTGAACTGCTTTAATTTAAACACTTTACTGAGCAACTTGGTCAAGGATAATTATGTTAACATCTTGTAAATGAATAATGAAAATGACACAAGAGCAAAACTTTTTAAAAGCACATTGGATCCCTTTTAACTACAACATTAAGTTGGGGCTGTGTAAAACAGTATGTACTTGTAGAGTGGAAATTGAAATTTCAAAGGCAAAATCTCAAATATTGATCAGATTTTCATTTTATTAATACTAAATTCAGAATCTGGCTTCAGTTCTCTACACAACTTCAGATAAATATTTTTCATTGTATGAACTATTTATTTAAGGCCATCTTTTTCAATTTATGAACATTTGAAAACTACTAAGACAAATCCCCCTAGGGAAAAAAATGAATTGTAAATTACACAGAGACAAACAACTGGGCTTTAAGTCTCCCTTCCCATATTCTAATTGGATGAGTGTTTAAGAAGGACTTCTCTTGTTTGTGGTGGTGCCCTCTAACGACTAGACGGACCTTGCTTTAATAATCACTCCATGTGCAATTTGTTTTAGCATTTACACCGTTGATGGTAGGAAGCAATCTTCTTTAATGGATACTGAAAGCTTCAAGTGAAATCTGTAATTGACAAAGGCTTCATAGAAACAGGCAATTAAGAACAAAATTAACAAGAGGCCCTACAGGAAAAGCACTCAAGCTTTCAAATAATACTTCTCTAAGAAAATATTTGGTAAAAATAAAAATTTAAAAGAACCAAGTGTAGTTTCTTCCACTTTATTATCTGCTTCCTGTATCTGTTAAAAAGATGACCATAGAGTTAAAGTCATTGGGTCTAGAGGAGTAATCCGCCTCCAATATTATTAGGTGGAAAATAAATAAATAAATAAATAAATAAATAAATAAATAAGAAAAGCCCATCGTGAAAGTTGAGGCAAGTTCAGCACCTAATTCTTCAAAATAACAGCTGTTCAGTTGAGTTCTAGTACCTCACATTGAATGAGGTAGTGTGTCGACAACAAATAAAATCGCTCTGGAGAGCGAAACAACAGAGACAGGAAGGGGAACAGGGCACTAATTGCCCTCATGGCTCCAGGAGCCAACACCAGTCCTCAAGTGTTACTAGTCCAGTAAGTGATACAAGCACATCCGAAATGACGAATATAAACAAGAGCACGAGAGTGAGTGGAAAAGGAACAGAACTGTCAACCGCATTCTTTGCCCAGTCCTCTAACCCCCAACCTCACAAAAGGAAGTTTACCTGTGGCGATAGGTAGAACCAGGGGAGGGGGCCCAGGCTGGTTCTCAGACGAGTTACTCCCGGGGTTTGGGGGACGCAGGTCTCCCGGTGGGGAAGGGGCGGGGAGCACTTACTTTGAGCAGCTTGCAGCGGATCTGCGCGGAGACCATGTGGCTGTTGCGCAGGTTGCCCACCCGGAACATAAGCGTGAGTTTTCCGTCCCTCATGGAGATCACCGCGTGCTCGCTGAACATGAGGGTCTCGGCGCGCTTCTTAGGCTGGGACATCTTGATGAACATGCAGCCGATGAGGAAGGCGTCCACGATGGAGCCCAGGATGGACTGGAAGAGGAAGAGGATGATGCCCTCGGGGCACTTGTCTGTGATGTATCGGTAGCCATAGCCGATGGTGGCCTCGGTCTCAATGAAGAAGAGGAAGGCAGAAGGGAAGTTATAGACATTGGCCACGCAAGGCGTGTAGTTACCGACGTGGGCTTTGTTCAGGTCGCCCCGAGTGTAGGCGATCACCCACCACATGGATGCCATGAAGAGCCAGGCCACGGTGTAGGTGAGAATGAAGATGAAGAGGTTCCAGCGCCACTTGAGGTCCACCAGCGTGGTGAAGAGGTCCGAGAGGTAGCGGCTCGTCTCGCTGCCCAGGTTGCCGTGCTGTACATTGCACCGGCCGTTCTTGTCCACGAACCGCTGCCGCTTCTTCTTGGGCACAAGCTGCTGCTGAGGGTCCTGGCCTGGACCCTGGGGCTGCAAGCCCGAGCCGCTGGACGATGTGGTCACTACCTGGTAATCGTCCCCAAATTTCCTTCGGAGTGCAGACATAATACGAAGGGGCGAGCCAGATTCAAACGCAAAGCGAAGGCGCAGGAGCTGGGCGCTGCAAACTAGCACCAATAAAGAGGTGGGGGCGGGGGAGGAAAGGGGGCGAAGCGAGCGCTCCTGGGTGGGGGGCGCACCCGGCAGGTAGCTGCGGTCTCTGCCCCCTGCAGAAGACGCCTCTCCTTCTCCCCTAGGACGGAGGTTTTCTTGCCAAGGTGAGTCTTAAAAAAGTGTTCTCCCGCACTCAAGGCAGGAGGGATGCAAGGAACAGGAACCCAAGCGCAATTTTGCCTCCAAGCTTCCCGAGGCTCCTCTTTTCTTTCTCCACCACCGGCATCCCGGGTCACCTCTTGACTCCCCACGGCCCTCCTGATTATCCTGCAGTACCCCCAAACTGGCTGCTTAAAATAAATGAGTTGACCAGCGAGCCCCAACCCACCTGCCAACTCGCTGGCTGACTAAGAAGCTGCCTTTACCTGCCTGGACCAGACCCTCCCCCCCCTCCCCGCCGCTCCCCAATCTCCCGCCCCCTGGGACCGCTCCCCGCACCCCCGGCGCACCTGTCTCCTATCTTTTAGCCAAAATCCCGCCCAAAGGCATGTCTGCCGGGTACTGGTGCAACGCCCCCTACCCGCACCCTCCGGGCTCAGATTCCCGGGTTCCGGACTCCAGAGACCTGTCCGCCTGGCGTCCCCCGACCGCCGAGTTTCCGCGGGCGCCACCGGGGCCCTCCGGCGGACCCTCAAGGGCCCGCAGGCCGCCCCCGCGCTCAGCTGAGACACGGCAGTGCGCGAAGCCTGGGCACTCACCCAGCGGGAGAGGGCAGGAGGCGGCGCAGCGGGCGGTAGCGGCAGCCTGGCCTCGCACTCTGCGCTCACGGCTGTTTTCCTCGTTCCCACTTTTCCTGGTGTACCACGATGGGCGCCAATGCAGGTCCCCCAAGCTCCGCACCTCCCTGGGGGCACCGCGCTGTCCCTGCCAGAAAGATCCTTGGCGCACACACCACAGAATGACTCGAGCGGGGGCTCGTGGGTTCCTTGGCGCTGTGCCCTCCTTCCAGGCGACAGCGGTGCTGCTGGACGGGGTTCGAGCCTTGGACTGCCGGTCAGACTTTCAGGTTAAACGGTAGCGCCGCTCTAGCTTTTCCTCTGCCTCTTCCTTCTTCTGTCCCCCACTCCTTTTCAGCGCCTCGGTGGCCCCGGGTGGAAGATGCGAGGCGCAAGCTGGGGCAGCAGGAATGTGGTGTGTGTGGTGGTGCGTGTGATCAGCTGCAGAGCCGCGCTAGCCCCGCCTGTCCCTGCCTTCCCCCGCTGCTCCACCAGCCTGAATTGCACCTCCGAGCCTCAGTTGAGCCTGCAGTGTCTGGCAGCTCAGGAAAAGCGAGCCCCTCCAATGAGAAGCGGCTCTAAATCTGCTCCCAAACGCCCGCCAACTCTCCTTTCTCGCCCCCTGCATCAGTCAGAAAGCCCCCAGCAAAAAGCAAATGCTGCTCTCTGAAAGAAGAGAAGTACAATATGTCTCTATAACTGGGCACTCGTTTAAACGGATGCCTGGATTTGGGGTTGCATCATAAACAGAGATCCCAACTGGCTCTGAGGTAGGCATATTCAGAACTCAAAGTTGCAGGAAGCAGGAGGGGCCTTAGGATGAGAACAGAAAGGAGAGAGACACTAATAGAAATCCTTTCTGGAAATGGCTCTATTAGAAAGGCTCAGAATATCTAGAGTTAATGTGTGCCTGTAATTGAAGGAAGAAGGCTGGATTTTAATGGCCTCAGCCTGGCAGTTAACTTAATGGAGGGGCAAAGTGCAGAAATAGCTAATAGAGTGCCCGTGAGTAAATACCAGCTTGTTTACCACATTTCACGTTTGCTTTAAAATGCCATGGTATCTTATGGCATATTTCAGTCAGCCCAGATACATGAAGTTGATTTTGTTGGAAATTCATCAAATCATGGCATAAAAGCAAAAGGCTGCTACAAGTTTCCCATGGAAAGGAAAATAAGTACATAATTTACTCTATGCATTCTCTGCCAATAGGTACTCCTCTCTACCTCTCTACTTATAAACCAACTGCAGGAAAGTGCGTGTCAGGTTGTCAGCCATAAGCAGAGGACTCTTTCACTGTTATTTGGTTAAAACATCTATCCTCAGTTACAGATGCTTCTCCTGCCAGTTCGCTGATAAAAGGTCAGTAACTCTCTGTTTGTTCTCTTAAGATTACATAAGAAGGGAAAGTGACACTGTGGGGAGTGGAAACTTCTCTGGTCCTAGAATCATGAGACCTGATTTGAGTCGCATCTGTGCCATTTACAAGCTGTGTGACCTTGAGCAAGTAGCTGAACAACTTTGAGACCTAATTTTCTCCCCTGAAAAATTGGGAGTTTGAACATTTTCCTAGTGTTGGTATGAAAAAAGAGAGTAAATGTGTTTTTTTATTTCTGCTATGAAGAATGTTGTATAGTGGACTATAAAGTTGCAACGAGGCCAAGAAGAGATTACAAATGAGCTTTATGCTGTGAACTAACACCTATATTCTCATCTCATCTCTGACTACTCTCTCCCAAGCTCATTATGCCCTTGGCAGCCTGGCTTCTTTCAATTCCTGATACACACCAGAGCATAGCTCCAGCCCTGGACCTTTGCACTAGATCTGTTCCCTCTACCTGGAAAGTTCTTGCTCTGTCGCTCCATGTTGCTGACTCCTTCACTCATTCAACTCTCAATCTAAATGTATCCTTCTCAGGGAAGCCTTCCCTAGCATCTCAGGTATTCCCATCACATCAACCTTATCTATCTTCCTCATCACGCTCTTTTTTACAGCTACTGTTTTCTTCATTTGTTTGTTGTCTTTCTCTTCCACCATTATCAGTTGTAGAATGTAAGCTATACAAGAGGAAGGACCTTGTCTGTCTTGTTCTCTGCTATGTCTCCAACACCTAGAAGCGTATCACATACTAGGTCCACAATAAATATGTATTAGATCAATAACGTGCCAATCTATATCACTGGAAACTACATGCATTGAAACTCTCTGAGTAATATGGAACTAAATAAAAGTAATCACTAAATCGGATCACTTATATGACAATGTAAAAAACATGTAAGTTTTTGTTTAAAAAGAGTAATACTTCCTATGCGCATTAGCTTTAGAAATGATAATCAGTTTCCAAGTCTTTTTTATTGTTATTGCTGCAATATCTCTCATAATTTCCCCTCTCTTTAAAAAAATGTCATTACCCATCTTCAAATTCTCATTTCAAGTTAGGCCCAACTTGAATAACTTTCTTGCCTTTATTCAGTTTTCCTCTCCTTCAAACTGCCTGGGATAGTAGTACTAGATCTCTCGCCTTAAACCATATGTTTAGCATTGCCATAGAAAATAAAAGTTCTCCAGTTATTTCATCTGGAAGATTTTAAAACATTCCCACTTTTTGAAAAACACTTTTTCATGAAAAACCTTTGCCATTTTCTAGCAACCAAATTTGTAAACAAATAAGTTTATACTTCAGGAGACATGGTCTGGTCTAATCCTCTCATTTTACAAGTGAGGAAATTGGGGATAGAAAGGCAAAATAACTTGTTCAATGTCACAGAGTTGATTAAGTGGAAACTGAGATTTGACCACAGAACAATATGACTGTAGAACCTGGATGCGCTGCCATCTCTTACCAGGTAGTGGCAGAGTAAGAAAGGGACCTAGGATTCCTGATTCATAGCGAAGGTCTTCTTCCTTTATAGGCCTAGCTTCTCATGCAGGTGAAATCTAAGATCCTCCAACATATGGCATAATCTAGCTTTCCAAATTATCTCCTGTCTTCCTTTTAATGGGCACTTTGCTCTAGCCAACTTTCACTGTTAGGTATTTCTCAAACGTGCCGTATATTATCTTCATTTGCTCGCTTTTTTTCTCATCACTTAGAATATCTTTTTTCTACACCTGCAAAGTCCAAATAATAGGCACTAGTATGTAAGGAAAGGGAAGGATTTCTTCATGTTTTATTTCAATTGCTATTGCTGTCATAAAGTTTTTCCTTATACTCTCACTAAGAGTAATGCATCCCTCCTCTGAACTCTCATTTCCCTAGATTTGCAATGTGGCATTTTTCACATTCTAACTTGTATTTCAGCTTAGAATTTACCAAGATTCCCTCTGAGCACCCTGAGCATCGACTTCTTAATAATTTGGTACCATCCATTATTCCATGATCCAAACTGACCTTATGCATGATAAACACTTGATAGAGTTTTAGAGAGAACCAAAATTTATTAAGAGCCTACTTTAATGTGCCAGGTAATGTGCTTAGAACTTTACAGGTTAGTGTTTATATTATATAGATAGAAAGGCAGTGAAGCAGGAATTCCAAAACACATCTGCTTATTGTCAAGATTTCTATTCTTTTAATGACACAGTCCTGCCAGGGAAATTAAATATTTTTAAGGATGCCGTTGTGTCACACTTTAAATGTGACTGAGGCTTTGACCCATTTGTGACATTGAGTCCAACTCCTTGAAAATGTTCACAGATGAACCAAACTCATCTTTTCCTGTGAGGGCAGCTGCTTCCAGGATGAGGTTCTGGAGGGCAGCCAGCCCCGTGGTGCAGAGGCCAGGCGGATGTGTGGGGAATGAATGATAGAAGGCCTCCTAATCAGGTGCTGTCTGATGAACTGAAGTGAAACACTGCAAGCAGAATGGGTCAAAGGAGAGAGAGGCATACAACTTCAGGCCAAGTCACAAAGCCAGGAAAGATCTGGAAAATGTAACTGCAGAATACAAAATCATCTGGAGTCTAACATTTAAAGATAGGGTGGTAGATTACGAGAAAACTACCATACAGTTCATGAGGGTGGGGGGGATCAAAGCTATATTTAACAAACTCGGCTAGGAGCAAGCTACATATTTATTCTGCCTGGAAAGTACTTCTGGCAATGTCTTATTTGCTGTGTCCAAAATTAGTAATATCATGAATAACTATAACTTCAAAAATGAATATGATTCTGTGTTTTATACTAAAAAGGCATGACTTTGTACATGCACTTATCCTATTATGTAACTGAATGGTGTGGGGAAAAGAGTGTATCTAATATGAAAGAAAAAACCTCTGCCCCTGAGAAGTCCAAATTCTAAAAATGACTTAATCGGCCAACTGTGACAAAAGCAAGGCTTTGAACATCTCAGTATCCCTGGAGTCTGTCTTCTCGTCATTCACTTATTGCCACTGTGACATACCACGTGACAGTCTGCATGGCCAGAAATATTAATTACTCTCTGGGAAGATGATATTATACTTAATACTCCTTTACTCCTAATCCTACCATTCTCCAAAAGTACAATGAAGAGATGGGCAGGCCTGGGGATCTAATGCTTTCATACTTCAAAAGGTGACACATTCCCATTGCCACCATAAGTTTTGCTATATCTGGGAAGAGGTCACTCTTTGAAATTCTATATGCAATTTTGGGAAATAGAATGGTGTTCCTTTTTTTTACCCTCCTAAAAAAGAATGCTGAAGTTATTTTCTCTCTTGCCAAAAAGAGAAGAAAAAAACGAGAAGGAGAAATCAGTTTGAGATTTGATTGCGCAGACGTGAGAACAGAGGCATTGCCATACCATGGCAGATGACTCATCCAGCCTTTAATCTTGGCTCCAAACCCTGGCCTCTGCCTGAGGATTCAGAGAAAGGCAATATGCCATTCTAACTTGTAGACCATTTATTTAGCAAGGTTTTCCTGACTTAAACCCTGTCTTTACTGCAAAGCTGTACATTGGAGTATTCTGATTTATGAAAGAATAAGGACTTTTAAAGTCTTCAAGAGCTCGACATCTGTTTAAAAAGAAATAACTTTTATCAGACCTAAAGTTTTTCTGGCAGGGCTTCACAGAAAAATAACAATTTCCTATTCTCATCTATGTACATGGAAGTTATACCGAGGATGTCTCCCCTGAGAACACCAATGAAGTTGCAAATGTCAAAACATGTGTAAGAATTTTGCCTAATTCAGTATAATAAACACTTAATGTGCACAAACCATGTATCTAGCACTATGCCAAGGTTTGTGCAGATCAGAAAGGAAGAAATTATGCCACAAAATATATTATGACAACATGTATTTTTTCAAAATAATAATGAAAATAATAATAATCAATACAATGTGGTAAGTACCTAAAGGAAGAGGACTGCTTTATTTGCAGTCAGAGGAACTAGTAAGTCCCTTCAGGAAATATGGCTCTAATGGGAGTTTTCCAAACTTATCAAACTGGAATCACTTACATTTGGTTCAGCATTAAATTCTCTCTGCTCAGACTACTTAATTTTAGAACTCTGAAAATGGATTTTTAATGACAACATTTTTAAGAGGTAAGATTTTTACACAATTAGAATAAAATAAGAAATAATTTGTAACCACATTATAGAACCTTTCAAACATGTATTAAAATTCTGGGAGAAAAATACAAACAGCAGATTTTAGAGGTGGTAAAATTTTCACTCTAATTTTCTGTGTATATATATACAGAAAAGATTGAAATTATTTTTCAATAATTGGAAAACAATAATACAACTTTTAAACAATGTTTAAAAATATTAAGGCAGATAATAATGTCAACACAGTTTATCTGGGAAGCAGATGCTGAGAGAAAGCTAAGAGGGGAAATTTCTCAGGGTTCAAGCCTAAGAAAGATAAAAGGGGAAAAAAGAAAATGAAGCAGAGACAGCCTTCAACTCTGATGCAGACACCCGTGAAAGGAAAGATGGAGAGGTGTAGGAAGAATTGAGTAGAGGGGGACTCAGACTATGATGTAAATCAGATGTAAGTCAGATAAAGTCTTGGCTAACTCAATCGGGGGCTCCCAAGCCCAGCTTGCCCGTTAGAAGAGTACCACATTGGGAAAAGATGGCCTAGTCCTAATGGCCCACTGAGTTGTCAGTGTCTGGGAGCTGCCCTTGTCAGTCCTTGTCTTCAGCTGAATGCTGCTTCAGATCTGGAAGGGTGCTGTAGCTGGAGGCCGTGAGCTAACTGCATGGCCTCCAGCTGAAGGGCAAGCTCTTCTTGAAGGAAGATCCAGTGGCATATCTCCATGGCTGCCAGGCAGAGTAGAGAAATGGAACTTACGGGTATCTCTTCAGAAGTTTTGTTACGAATATCCAGAAATGTTTCTATAATCTAATCAGCTGATTATGAATGTATGCATTACATTTTAGTTTCGGTGCAATCACATGAATTCCATTTTGTGGAGTGAAGGGTGACAGAGGTATAGGGCATAACCCATAGCCATCCATGCTCATCTTTGTTTTGATTATAATTGGCTAGAAGATATACATGTATCTACGTAACTTCCTCTAGCATCCTCTAGTACGGAGGCGGAGAAGGGAGAAACTATGAATAGTTGGACAATAGGATGTATGGGGAATAAGGGAGAAGCCAGAAAGGCAGGAAAGACCCTCAGTGACAAAGGGGTAGGGAACAGAACTCAAACATTTAATGGCAGGTAATACAGGTTAGAGTGGTAAACAGAATGGTGAATATAAAGGGAGAATGGTGAAATGAATTTTCTGAAATTAAATTGCTGTGTTTATAGTTTTTAGCCATGCATTGGAATCACCTCAGGACTCCACTCCCAATCAATTATACATCTGGGGGAGGACCAAGGCATCGGTATTTTTCAGAAGCTCCATTGGTGATTCTGACAACACAGCTAGGATTAAGAAACTGATCAATGGGAACGGCATGCCTGTTAGCAGAGGAGCTTCCCTGGGAATTGTCACACACACAAACACCATCAATCTTCCTTCCTCACTCCTGAGAGCCCTCATTCTTTGGCAGCAGGAACAGCTGAAATTAGTAAACCCTGGTTCCCTGCTCTCTCACAGATCGCAAGAGTCCAACATGTGGATATAAACTTTCATTCATGGGAGGATCTTCCCCTCAGTGGAAAAGCAACTGGGAAAAGCAGGACACACTGTACAGTGACTGCAGTTTCATCCAGTGCCACCACCCATGCAGGCATAAATAACGAACATGGATGGGGGAGTCTGGAGCGGCTGAATTGTAAAGACCATAAATGTTTAAACTTTTTCCGTTAGTAATATTTCTGCTTTTTGTGTATGTGTGTGTAGAAGTTCTGTCTTTATAATTCTCACCACTATGCATCATACTTCCCAGGAGGAAGGAAGAACACAAAAATTAAAATTCTCACAAAGGCTACCGTTAAGCTGGAGGAAGACCACATCACTGTGTGTCCACAAAGATACACAGCCAAGCCGGGTTCAGCCATGCTGGTCATCTGCTCGATATAATATGATTATTTAGATCTCTAGATAGTGGATAAAAAACAACTACAGAAAAAAAAATGCTAGAAACTAGAATGTCATTTTTACACACTCATTTGTAGAATTCCTCCCAGTTTTTACTCAAGGGAACTTTAAAATATTTTCATTTGAGGAAAGAACTGTTTTGAGTTTACCCTATAAAATGGCCACTAAAACTCACCCACTTTCATGATTACCCAGCCATCCTCAGATCATCTTCATGATTTTCCTGGAAATAACGGAAGAGGCCCTGGGGATGATTTTATTGGTAGAGTGGGAATGTATTAAAATTCTCTACTTGTTACATGGTCTTTCCTCCACCCTACAAGATGCATGCTTGTAACTCAAATTTCCATTTGAGTAATTAACAATTATTATTTAAAACTAACCTGAAAATAAAAATTGTATTCATTCATAGGGAGCATCTACCTATTTATTATTACCACATAGGTGATGTGACTCTAGAAACATCTTGGTATACAAATAGCCAATTAAAATATAAAATGTAATGATTTTCAAAAGCTACTCTTTTTCCTTCTCTCATCTCTATCTACTAATTGGAAAATCTATTTGCCAAACACAACAAAGATGATTGACAGAATTTTGAAAATACACAAATTTCCCTATTAAAGAGGGTGAATGGATGTCAGCACTGTATCAGACACATAATATTAAGGAGATACCTATTGTTTAACATTCTGTGTAGTTAATGTTACAAACAGACGTCAAAAAGTGAATAAAAACATGTCATGAAATTACCAAATAATGAATTAACTTCCTGGATACAAGGAAGGTTCTGTTAGCAAGTTCTTTTTAATAAAAGCAAAGAATGGGGATGTAACAATTAGAGAAACGTGGAGGAAAACATAAGGAAGTTGGGAGAGGGAGGTCAAATCTCACTTTCAGTTATCAGTAAAGTGCACATTCTTTTTTGCATTCTGTGAGGCTGGAGGTGCTGCTGATAAAATGTCCTCACATATTCTGTCAATGTCAGGATGCAAACATCACTAAATAAACCCTCGTGTCAAAATGTCACCTAGTGATTATTTATGCTTCTTGACAACACCAATAAATGACAAGGCTGCCTCTATTTCTGTGAAAGGTTGCATACCAATTGTTATAGGTAATATAGATGAAGTACAAAGTAGTTATCAGAATTCATTTAAACTGTGCTATTAAATTAGATATGTCTGCAATAGCCATCACAGTAAATACTACTGTGATTCTCCTGAAGGAATATTGCCTAAACAATTTAATGCAGGACATTTCCTAATTACCATGCATTTCTGAATCTCTGCTACCATGTAGATACTCACACTGAAAGAGAAGTGTCATTTCTTTTTCTTCTTTAATTTGTCATTGTTTCCCAGTGTTCTTGCTTCTGGGATTGAATTTGGAGTCTACATTTTTTAAGGGTACTGCAATTATTAACGTAGTCTGGGATGATAATGTCTCAGCAAAATGTACAGAATGTGAATAAGATAGTTAACACCTTAGTTGTTCTAATTCTATATTGCTTCCTGTTCCAAATCTACTAATGAGTAATAAGAGATGTAGCACTAATCAATGGAACAAAAGCATGCATTTTGAAAATACTCTATCAACTCCATCAGTAAAATTTGTAAGGTAATTATAAATTTGTTATCAGACATTTTAAATTGTTAAGGTATAATTAATTAAAAGGTATTATTTTATTTGGGATAACCTTCCACTCTGTTAATCATACTAAAACACTTGATGCTCAAAACACAATTCAAAGTCATCTTAATCAGTGTGAACTTCAAGATCTTCTTAAAAATGACCTCTGATACTACCCTGAGATTATTGGAGTGTAAATCCTTGCTTTGTACTTTCTGGCTGTGTGTACTTAGGCAAATGACTAACTTTGCTGTTCTTGTATTTTCTCACTGTTAAAATGAAATAGAAATAGCACCTGCCTCTGTGAGGTAGTTTGATAAAAGGATTAAATGAGAAAATCTACATAAAGCATAGTGCCTAAGATCTGTCACACAGTATTTTCAAGATACGTGAAAACACATTCTAAAATTATCATTACTTGAAAATAAAATCCACATGGAGAACTTCTAATTTGCTAATAAGCCTACAGATGATTTTGTAGCTATAGAAATAAAGTGAAATTAAAGCAATAACTAAGTTCAAAAGAGTTCTGTGTCCTCCCTTCTTTATAACATTCTAGATTTATAAACTGCAAACTGTTTTCTCAGCTCAACTCAACAGAAATAAGAATGTGCTTGCTTTTTCTCTTCACGTTTTCCTATTTTCCTGTTACTTTTTAAATGTTAGCTGTATCTGAAATTCCACTACTCTGATTTACTATCTCTGGTTTAATAGATACATTAATTCATTCTTATTCATGATATTTTTGCATATTAATGAAAGGGAAAATCCATTTATGACCATATTCCACAACTTAGGAAATCCTTTCCTTTATATAAAGAAGTGGCTTAGCAACCCAACAAAACTGTCACCCCCTCCAACTCTCAACAACTACAAAACTACTACAAGAAGCAAAATAAAACAAAACTTTTCTTAAGTTTTTCCTGTAATGAAATGGTGAAAGACTTGTTCACCAGAACACTTAAGAAGTGAGCCTGGCCAGGCGTGGTGACTCACGCCTGTAATCCCAGCACTTTGGGAGGGCAAGGTGGGCAGATCACCTGAGGTCAGGAGATTGAGACCAGCTGGCCAACATGATGAAACCCCGTCTCTACTATAAACTACAAAAGTTAGTTGTGGTGGTGGCCACCTGTAATCCCAGCTACTCAGGAGGCTGAGGCAGGAGAATCGCTTGAACCGGGAGGCGGAGGTTGCAGTGAGCTGAGATCACGCCATTGCACTCCAGCCTGGGCAACAGAGTAAAACTCTGTCTCAAAAAAAAAAAAAAAAAAAAAAATGAAGTGAGCCTGTCAGACTCTGGGACATTTGACAGCGGATAGAACTGTCTCAGGGGGAGACCTGAAGAACTGCCTTTTACTTCTGTGAGAAAGAAGGATAAGAGGAAGAGTTGGAAGAGGTGTCAGCACTAGGAGCGGAGGCCTGTCGCTCTGGTAGGTGACTCTCTCTCATGATAGTCTTCAATATTCACAAAGCTAAACTGTCTCATGATTTTTCTGAAGCCAATGAATTACATTCACCCTGATATGAGGCAAAGCTAAGGCAGTATTTATAGGTACAACAGCTTAAAGGTAAGGAGTCACAGGAGGAAATAAACCCTAAAAACTCAAATACCTCTCTTTGAGGGTTTTAGATTGGGTTAGGCCGTAGGTTCAAGTCGAGTTGGAATAGTTCTCTAAGAGACAAGGGGATTCCCAGATGACTCTTGCTTTATAAATTGATTTCAGGGTTTTGTTTGTTGGTTGCTGGCTGTTTGGTTGATTCATTTAGAAATATTTTCCTCACCAAGCCAGAGACCAGGCACTGTACCACATCAACTTTTTCACCATTAACCTTTCACTGTGCTCTATGTAGGTTACAAAATAACACAATAGGAAAAACATTTTGAAATTAAGAGATAAAGGCCGGGCGCGGTGGCTCAAGCCTGTAATCCCAGCACTTTGGGAGGCCGAGATGAGCGGATCACAAGGTCAGGAGATTGAGACCATCCTGGCTAAAATGGTGAAACCCCGTCTCTACTAAAAAATACAAAAAACTAGCCGGGTGAGGCGGCGGGCGCCTGTAGTCCCAGCTACTCGGGAGGCTGAGGCAGGAGAATGGCCTGAACCCGGGAGGCGGAGCTTGCAGTGAGCTGAGATCCGGCCACTGCACTCCAGCCTGGGCAACAGAGCAAGACTCCGTCTCAAAAAAAAAAAAAAAAAGAAATTAAGAGATAAAGGTGAACCAGGCTATTAAAATAACTATGCAGATAACAATCTAGCAACACTCACAGAGTATTTCAAATAATGACTTTAGAAACTAAGACCACCAAAGAGAATAATGAACACTTAAATTGGCGCTATTTAAAGGCAAAATAGCTGTACTATAAAAAGTGTCACTGATACTTCAATTCTACATGCCTTTCAAACAGTATGAAAAACTGTAACTATAGTGTGTGCCTCAACAAAGCAAAGACTGTAGCAGTGATAAATATATTCAATCTCCTGAGAAAAATCTTTATACACATATTTTAGGGCAAGAGAATTTAATTTTCAAAAGTGTATTAGTCCATTTCACACTGCTATAAGGAACTACCAGAGACTGAGGAATTTATTTTAAAAGTGAGGTTTAACTGACTCATAGTTCTGTATGGCTGGGGAAGCCTCAGGAAACTTAACAATTCTGGTGAAAGCAGAAGCAGAAGCAAGCACTTTCTTCACAAGGGGGCAGGAGAGAAAGAGAAACTATGCAGGGGAAACTGCCACATGTAAATTATCAGATACCATGAGAACTCCCTCACTATCATGAGATCAGCATGAGGGAAACTGCCCCTATGATCCAATCAACTACCACCAGTTCCATCCCTCTACATGTGAGGATTACAATTTGAGATGAGATTTGGGTGGGGACACAGAGCCAAACCATATCAAAAGGCAAGGAGACTTAAAAGTAATGTTAGTTTTATGCAACTGTTAATAATGAAAGTTTAGGGAGAAGACAAATTTTACCCTGAAAGTATGTTCTCCTGAATTGCCTGATATTCACCATCTATTTGCAAAAAGTTAGGATTGACTACACTAATACCAGTTACAGCTAATAGCTATCAATGTTGAATAACTTATCACTCTGACCACTTTTTAGCACTGATTCGGGATTGGGAAATAATCAAATTCTTGGAACTCTTCCTTATAAAGGAAGCTCATGAGGGAGAAAAAATAAAACAGATAGAAGCAGAGCTACTGTTGTTGAAGCTGGGGCACAAACGCCACCAACTTGGACCCTTTCTCCTTTCTCATGGTGGCCCCAAGGGAAAGCTAAAGAAACTAAAGGGTTCTGAGGGACAAAGTTCATCCTTTGTCATTTTCTGGAATTCGGTAGATGGAATGGAAGTGGGATTGGGTTGAGGGAGAGAGAGATGCCAACTTCATCCCAAACTCTGCTCATTTACGGGATTCTCTCAAATTTGGATGAATGATGAGGCAGACTGCAAAAGTGAATTCCTTGAGGGACTTGAAAATCTCATGAAAGACCTAACTTATCCCCTTGAAGGGAAGAGAGAATAAAAGCAGAGAAGCTAGTAACAAAGTCTAATCACACAGGGAAGCGCCTCGTGTTACTTATTTTTTGTTACTTGTAGTTTGAAATATCTGTCATCTAGGCAGTAATGGTCTAATATGATACACGAGTCTTGCAAATGTGCAGATGTTGGAAGGATTGGTGGGATTCTAAATAAAAAGGGAAATGTTTCATTAAGATTTCTGTAAAAAAAAAAAAAAAAAGACAAAGGTTGAGCATAAGCAGCATGTGTTGGTTCCCCTGTGGTAAAGTATAGCAGTGCAGAGGAAAGGGTTGTTTTTTTTTAAAAAAAAACCTGGGTGTCTGAGCATTTGGAATACCCAAAATATGCCTAGCCCAGCTGCTATGTGATGGAATGCACTTGATTTCAGTTTCAAAATGGTAAGAGTGGGAGCGGGGATGTTATCACATCTGGAGCATGTGATGCCCAGTAAAGGTAGCTCCACACTTAATTCCTCAGGCAGGACCCAAGAGAAGCCAGAGAACTGGAAGCATACAGAGGTTTCTTCTCTGTGTGGTATATTCCCTTCCCTTAGCGGGCAGAACAGGAAAAAAGTGAAAACAAGGTTATGTTACTGGACCAGACATCAACTTATATATTAACAATAATGTGTGACCACCAGAAGATTAAAAAAAAAAAGTGATGGACAGTGGAAGTTACATTAATTAAAAAATAAAATGTTGGGATCAAGTGGCAATGAAAAGGAGCTTAGTAATATAGAACGGAATTGCATAACTTTTACTCTCTTAAATTTCGAGAAAAGAAATGTTTACATTCCTCCTCTACTCATTGTCACATCCTATCATTGCCCCTTTTGAAATTTTTCAGTCACTTCACATTTTGCTAAGTAGAGAGCCATGATCCACTGCAGTTCACACGTAGCAGGTGCCCTTCCCTCCCAGTTGCCTAACAAGAGAGTGAATGTGTAGATTTCCCCTTCTCTTTGGTAGGGAAAAAAAACCTGGCACAATGTTACAGGCAAATAAAGATGAGAAATTACTGTAGAATCACTGAGGGCAGCTCTGGTTAGATGGATAATACATCTTTAAATCACTGGGAGTTGCTCTCCTTAGTAATGGCTAAGAGGCCATAGCCTTGGTTTGTTAAAGGTTGTGGCCCCAGGTGGATGACAGATGGGACACTAGGAGCTTGGTGTTCTGGGTTCATAAGGTGACAGAGAGCTGGCTTCTGCCCTGACCTTGTGTTCATGGGACTAGATTTGTCTTCGTCGAGAGGGAGCCACATATATAATAAGACAATCTTACTCATCAGAGCTGGAACTTTGGGCAGAGAAAACTGTGTCCCAGATGTGTTTCAGATGCAACAGTCAGGTGCTGGTTCAAGCAGTGCCTCCCTTTGAGCCACCTAATTCTCCCTGAGTGGCTGCAATATGCCCTTCTGCTAGTATGCACCAGAGCCTGCAGCTAGGTCCCTCATATTCATAAAGTGGCAGAGAATTGAAAGGACTTGAACCTTACAGGCATTAGCCTCTTTGATGGAAGATTTTCCATTTTGAAAATATTTTGAGTAGGTGGTTTTTTTGTTTGTTTGTTTGTTTGAGTACTGTGGAGTTCCCTAATGTTACCTTCCAATTGCAGGTGGGACATGCTAGCTGCCTGTGACTCCTCCCTTGGCTTCTTGCCTTTGCCAGTACAACTCCTGCTCTCCATTCAAGAGAATCCTTGGGGTCCTTTATGAAAAGTCTCAGAGGCAGCTGCATCCCCCAAAATGCTTTGCCCAAACAAGCATAGCTTGCTCCACATGAAAGCCCTTTTCCCAGGCTTCCTCAGTACTCCACTCAGGCATAGCCCTTCCTCTTTACACTTTGCAAGTGTGATGCAAGTCCTTGTTTCAGTGGTCTTCAAGCTCCAGTGGACCCATATTAACAGCTCCAGAGTATTATCTTGAATTTTTTTCCATTTGGCTTTCTCTTCTTCTTCCTCCCATGGGCAGTTGAGAGGAGGTCATATCATATTCTGTCAACTCTTTACAAAGCAATTCTCCCTACAGAATTTTTAATCTCAGATAATTCTTTGTTTTCTTATATTCAGCTGGAAATGGCTAATGGAACAATGTTGACTGAGCCAATTTCACAATCTCTGAATATGTCTTAAAGACTTCTAGCACCTAATTTTAGAAGTGTAGGGACTTTGTCACATTGTTCATGACTTTTGAGGTCCATGTTGAATGAAACGCAGATATAATGATAATATTACCCATTAATCACTTTATATATTTATCACATTATATTCATATAATCATTATGTTGGTCACATATTGTCTTAGACCACTTTGTGTTGCTATAATAGAATAGCACAGATTTGTCAGTTTATAAACAATAGAAGTTTATTTGGCTGAGAAATCCAAGACCATGGCATCAGCACTTGGTGAGGGCCTACATGCTTCATCTCCCATAGCAGATGGTG